TAGAGGTGTGGGACTTAGTATAAAATTTTGAGTAAATTGGATTCTATCATTGAAAAAGTAATTATAGGTTATTCCAATGATTCCATACTAACACCATTTTCGAAAAAATCGCTAAGAGCTGAACCGAAAATGCGTAAATGTTTCATGCGCGTGACGGCCTCTTAAGAAATTAAGTATTTAAATACTGCAAAAGTAACACAAAAACACCAATAAACCAGAACACAACACAATAATATTGTGGTGTATTGGTGTTTGTTTTACTTTTGCAAGTTCAAAAGACAAATAATTCCAGTTCTTCCAGTATTTACATACTTTTAGGTACTTAAATAATAAAAGTATTAGAAACTACAAATACTTGCCGGCTCTGCTGACACTCTTAGATACTTCAAAAACATCATGGTATGTGACAATGGACAAATGCGTACTTAGTTTTAATTTTAGGGTTTCAGTGTAATACAAGGAAAATCCCCTATTGATACTCAAGTATTTTTTAATGAAATTTATAGAAAGTAGAGCGTATAAACATAAATAACAATTGACTTATGTTACATGAGTGTGTGTTTACTGATTTTATCTAAATTTATCCGTTATTTTAATAAAACTTCACATAATTCTAGACCTTTACCAAATATTACAGCATGTACACCAAACGGTTTTTCAAAACATTGCATACCTTGAATATCTGCTATACTAGTCTTATATGTGAAATCATAGTGGCATACTACATCATTCTCACTCAAAATCCATTTACAGGTATTTACTTTCTGATCAACTGAAGCAGTTATCAAATAATTGCTTGCAATAAATACACCAGTTATTTGCGCGCAATGCAAATCACTGTTGCAGAACTTAGATAATACTTCAACATTCAGTTTAGAATTTTTGACACTTAATGAGAGTAAAATGAAAATGATTACATTATCGTCCCCACCTGTAAGTAGTAAGCACCTACTACAGTCGACTACCTTACAATCCACACTGTTGATTCCTCCAGAGTGAAGTTGAATAGTAGCAACAGCAGAAATATCTTCTACAATACTTTTATATTGATCGTCGTCTTGAATAATTTTTGATGTTTCTCGAGATAAAATATAGTCTGTAAAATTCCAAAATGTAACGTGTCCTCCTGTACATGCAGATAGCACAATGTCCAGATCTTGTATTTTAAAATGTCTTACTTTGAGTATACAAATTGCTTTATAACATACTTCTCCTACTGGGCTCATACTGTAACTATTTTCTTCATCAGTATCAGCCAAAAACACCCTCAGAGTTCCATTTGAGGTAGCTGCAAGTAAGATTAATCCTTTTGTTGTCAATACCGAACAAAGATCCATTATTCGAGTTTCAGACTCGTCGGAAGAAAGGGCTTCATAGTGAGAACACCTTTCACTACAATTAACGGAATTGTCATTTCTGTTAATTTCGATTTCCCACAACATTAATTGAGCTCGGCCTCCTGCTGAAGATATTAGATATCGTTCGTAGTTTGAATCTGACTGAACAAGACATGCAGTTATAGCTCTAACACTAGAGAGATGCGATTTGAAAATATTTTTATTTTTAAACTTCACTGGTGGAATGCCCCAATCAATTTCAGATAAACGTATAGTTGTATCTTCTCCACCAGAAAGTAATGCGTATTTATCAGCAGTGGAATGCTTAAAACAAAAAACAGCATTGATTTCGCTACAGTGAAAACTTCCCATAATGTGTAATGTTTTCAAAAGATTCATATCAGATTTCACTAAACAAACCCTTTTATTTTTAATAAAGACGAATTGCATTGCGCCGCTTAATTTACAAAAGTCCCATGACCTATGTGCTCCTCCGCAATCGAATTGTAAAAGTGTACGTCTATTCTGATAATCCCATACAATAAATTCTTTCCCTAAAAAAGCGAGGAGTAATATACAGTTTTTATGGTAGCAAATTGCTGCTGTCCAAGAAAACGGTACTTTATCAGATGATAAATGAATAAACTGCTGCTTAGACTGGTCAAATTTGTACTTCTTGATAAGGGAATTCCTACCTAAACAAAGAGGTAAATAATCAATGATTTCCAAAACCAGCTTACCAAGTGATGTTAAGTAATCATTTCTAAAGTGTAAGTTAGTAATACCCAAATAATTATGGGCTTTTCTTATTACTTGTATAGGATCAGCATTGTCAAACCTATAAATGTAAACATTTCCTTTTCGGTCGCCAACCGCGACGCGTTTCTCTCCACAAAGACACGCACAAGTTGTCCATCGTTCTTTACTAGGAGGTAACTTTAAGTGTGTTTCCAGTACAATGGAGTGATTTTGTATAAGCCAAATGTAAACAACTCCCTCTGCTTCACATGTTAAAACATTATTTTCGCTCAACCAGTGTAATGAAAATACCCTTGATTTACTTTCTGTGGAATAACTGCAGACATGGATTAGCTTGCTTGACTCTTGATTGTAAATGTGAAGAGTTCCATAGTATCCTAAAAACAAATAGGTAATCAATTATCGATGATTAATGTTGCGACTGCGTGGTAATATTAACTCAAGTTAATATCTTAATCATTATAATTAATATCTTAATAATTAATTAAAATGGTAAAATTAAAATTATTAAATTTTTGCTTGCTTAAGAGATAAGGGGGGGAAATCAAAACATTATATATTTAAGAATGAACCTATATTTTCTTAGTTTAAAAAGGTACAGAAAAGTGTTTACACAAGTTTCTTTATAATGATTGTTGAATATTCTGTCGCTTTCAAAATAAGTAAGTATAAGGGATCAGACAAAACCGTTGTATCGGACCCAACACTAAAAAAAATTAAAAACCTCACTACTGATTCAAAAAGATTCAATTTTTTGACATTTGTTGTATTGTTTAAATTTAAATGATTGGAACCTTTTTTCCAGGCTTTTTTCAATATGTTTAAATCTTTTTTTAATTTTTTTAAAGATTGGTAAATTTTTTTAAATCACGTCGTGTTATATTTTTCAAAAAAGAATTTATATGCTCTCTATTTAGATTATAATATGCTTGATGTTGTATTTAAAAATGAGGTTAGGTCCAATAACTTTTTTCTGTCCCCATATACTTATTTAAACCCGTCAAATTATTCAACAATCATTACAAACTTTTATAATAAACATTTCTCTGTATCTTTCTTAAATAAGAAAATATAGGGTCAATCTGAAATTGGCAATTTTTTATTTCCCCCTGTATCTCTTAAGCGAGCGAAAGTTTTAACATTTTAATTTTGCCATTTTATGTTTGACCTTAAAAGAGCATATGACGCCTAAATTACTTTTTTTTATAACACTAATAATTATGGCAATAAAAAAGGTCGGAAATGGAACACCCTATAGTTATGTTTTGTACACATACACATTTAATGCCAAATGTCTGTTAACTCAAAAATCAGAAAGTGAAATACATTATTCCAAAAAGTTAAATGGACGCTCGGGAGAGGAAAAAACGCTCGGGAGCGGAAAAAGCGCTTGCGAGCGGGAAAAACACTCGCGAGCGAAAAAAGAACTTACGAGCGAAAGAAAAACGCTCATGAACGGAAAAACCGCTCGAGGCCAGAAAAAAGCGCTCGAGCGTCACATGACCAATATTTAAAAAATTCAAGATGGCGATCGCACTTAACAGCCATGTAGCAAACGAAATGTTTAATCTGAAATATGTGAAATCATTTCAAATGGAAGCGTTCTAATTTTCATATCTATTCGCAATTCAGATTAACAGTGAGACCTCTGGTGGCAGTACATTGTAATTACTATTGGTGGGATAACACCGCCATTTTGTTGATTTACAATGGTCAAAAATAATCTATATTGTTTTTTATACAGCAAAAATTTCATTTACAATCAATGTAATGACACATCAAAGAGCAAGAATAGTTTAAAACGTCACATTTTATCACGTTACTTCAAGAATTTTAAATATGAACAGTGGAATTACACAACCAACAATGAGGATAAGTTAAGCCTCGTCTAAAACTGCTCCTTCTGAAAAATAAAATAAACTAAATTAACGGTATGCGTTACTTTCTTCTTGAACAGATATGGGAAAAATCCACACTTGTTTCGAGAAGATTACACCCAATTTCCACAGAAAATCAATGTTTGAGCAGGAATTTTTGAGAATTAAATTAGGTATTGGTCTGATAGAAGGAAATTTAACAGGGCAATCATATCAGAATCTATGGGAAAAAGTGATGATCCTCTAATCACACAATGTTTGGAATCAAAATGCTATTAGAAAATTTGCACTCTCAACAAGATGGGGTTCCTCCACATTAGGCACTGGCACGGTGGTATAGACTGGTGATACGGCGAGCGCGTGTAGCATGTACGCCGTCACCGGCCTGAAGTGTGCGAGAGAGAGAGAGAACAAATTCCGTCCGCGAATTTATATGTACGTAATCCATTCGCACGTTACATAGTTTACTACCAAAGATGTGTGTTTCTGTCCATTATCGTATAAAAACTGTGTATGAATGGTCATGTCGCTATTAACTAGTTATCAATATGTAATACATACTTCTGATTGTAAAAATAACAAGTTTTAGATGTACCTACAATAGTGATCTTTTAGGAATTTGGTTGGAAGGTGAAACTTTCAACGAAATGAAAACACATGCATATTCTTTATGAATATTTCAGGTTACTGGTACCCGAAATACCGAGATCCCGCATAAATGGAGCGGGATCCCGCGTGATTTGCGGGACTGAGGAATTTGTCGACCAAGGAGACGACTCTTGTTTACTTTGTTAATGAAACGCATAACGGAGAAGTTATTTTTTAAATAATTGTTAAACTTTTTTCGTTAAAAATGTACTATGATTTTTGAGGCACTTTAGAAGTTCACCTTTTTGTGCTTTACAGGCGAGGTTTTTTTGAGTTCTAAGTTAGGCTGAAGGTATCTACTTTTTTGTTAAATATTGTAATAATTAGCGATTTATTGTAATACAGAAGTTAACTGCACAGAATTGCTTATGTGCCAATTTATTTAAAGTTTTGTGGGATCCCGCAAATACCGGGATTGAGATTTTGCTGCGGGATTGCATTCCGTAGTTGTAGTACTATAAAATAGGTAAATCTGCAATTGTCTGATCAAAAAAATCGACGGACGCAGCATGTGGCATGAGAGTATTATCAACGGTTTTTAACAAATTAAACACATCAGAATTTGGATGATTTAATCCACCCCGTAATTTTAACGTAGTAAAATGCGCAACTGATGCATTTTATGAAGGTAACAATTCTAAATTCAACAAATGAAGGCAGTTTATAATTGCTTGTAGGTGAGCGCGCGTTAGATTCAATAATACTGAATGGACGGGATGTGCTTTCTCGCTCTCGGGTGCTCCTTTTCTAATAAGTCGGTACTCGTGCGACAGATTTCCGTGTGCTCTTAATGCTTCGCCAGCTCACCAGTCTATACCACCGTGGGCACTGGCGTAATCCGCGACGGTACCCTGGTAAATGGTTTAGCAGAGAGGATGACATAGATGGCCACCATGGTAACATATATTCAGAGCTGTCACTTTTAATAAGATTTAAATCTTTTTTATGATTTAAATACTTTTTTCGATTTAAATCATTTGATCTTAAATCATTTTGCGGAAAATGATTTTTGATTTAAGATTTAAATCTTCATGAAAACTATCTTTGATTTTGAACTTATAAATATGATTTAAATCTTTTAAAAATATTTAAATACTTTCGAAAAGATTTAAATCGTTTTCGAGTGATTTAAATCTTTTAGAGACGATTTAATTAATACATACTAACAAATTCTCTTGATTTATTTCAACCTGACTAAGCTAATTAACCCGGGTTTTATTTCGGTAGACGTTTATATGTATTTATTACAAAATCGAGTATACTGAGATTGATGATGTCTTGGTTTTTTAAAATTTCTTTTGCAAAAAAATAGCTACATATTTTAATTTAATAAATAATAACAATAAAATACGGTAGAAATGGTAGGTATATTGATGAATGATGTTGACGGTTTCGAGCAAGATCATCAGACCAATCAGTTTTATTGAATTTAAATCCTTTACAAACCTTTTGTCACAAAACGATTAAATCATCGGAAAAGATTTAAATCATTACATCATTACATGATTCTTTATACGTGATTTAAATTAACAAAATTAGATTTAAACCTTTTTGAATGAATTAAATACATTGAAAGTATCTTAAATACTTTCTAAAAAGATTTAAATCACAAAAAATATTTAAATCTCAAAATGATTTATTAACTAAATACTTTCTTATTGACAAAAGTATCTTTGATTTAAATCATTTGTTAAAATGAAATGCATCTTTGATCTTTGATTTAAATCGTTTTTTAAACGATTTGTGACAGCTCTGCATATATTCAACATACACTGTATTATTGTCTGTGTACTAGTAGTGGCCATTTTGAGCATTTAATAAAATAAATGTAATGAATGATTCATTTGTATTTGTCTTGGTTTCATAAATTTAATTCACAATCAGAGCAATCAAATTTGATTCTGTGGGTTTATGTGTAAAGAGAATTTTATGACCTTTTAAAATAATGCGTAACGTGATGGGTGGTGCATACTACAATTTTAAAGCGGAAGTAGGCGGTAGCTGGCCGTACAAGGGCAACTCTTACATTGAAATTACCCCTAGCTATCCGTTTTTGCAATTTGATTTTTCATTTAAATTACAAATTATCGACAATAAGTGGCTCGTTTTGAAAATAAATGGAAATAATAATACCTAAGCAATAGCAATGAATAAATGTGTTTTTTATTCAATGGCAATAGGTATATGCAAAAATTTACAAATTGAACACACCTGCAAACGCTATCGAATTGGTTTTCTTCCAAACATCCAACAATGCATAGCTTATTAAGTCATTATGTTGTTTTACTTCCATCCATATCTTTGAACTTGAAAGATAAAGTAATATCATTCCCCTTTCTGAAATTCCCACTAAATTTGCATTATTTAAAGCACCAACTTTTTTCAGTGTGTGCTTATTAACGACCTCAACTTCTTGTTTGTCAATGTTGTCATTCAAAGATAAAAGGGTAACTCCACAGTCTCCTCCTGCCGTTGCTAATACACCATTCTCACTATCATAATCTAATGCCCACACTGGAGATCCAGTATGCGCCTCAAATCTCTTTATCAAATTTCCCTCCAAATCCCATACGTTGATCAAAGAATCTTCACCTGCAGTTAATATACGTTCATCAAGTGCCAAACAACGAAATACTCGAGCTGTATGACCATACATTGAATATTTCAAGATGATCTTTGGTTCTGGCTGCAAAAGTTCAGCCACTAAATTCTTGTTTGGAATGGACCACAGAATAGCAGATCGGTCGTCCGATGTTGAACATATTATTCCAGTCTTCTGATTACAATCAATGGAAAAAATTACGCCCTATAAAGTAAAAGATACACAATAATAAATTCGTAATTATAACTTACCTTATGCCCGTCTAATTTGGCTAGAATAGGACAAACATTACCTCCACCAGATTTATAAGGCCACCATATTAATATCTGGCTAAACACTGTTCCTGCCAGAACGATAATGTCTGTCCATAAGTTATTAACCAAATGGCTACTGTACAGAATGCAATTCTCTTGGCAACATTTTTTCTCAATTAATTCAAATTCCTTTGACCAAAGGTGAACAACATTGTGCATAGAAACTGTTACAATATGTTCATCATTATCAGTCCATGCAGCAGATAGTATCCAATCCTCCACAGAAAACAATGACTCCTTTTCAAAATTAATATTTAAGAAATCACACTCCAACACTGCGATTTTGTTCTCTCCAAATACCAAACATTTAGTCAATGATCTTGTGAATGCAATTCCAAAAATTTGTACACCTTCAAAAATCTTAATTACTTTAATGCTTTTAGTTTTCTGAAAGATGTGTATCTGGTCCCCAGTGCCTGAAGAGAAAAAAAAGCACTCCAATTACATACACAATTTTTAGATTTTGTCATTGCTGAAATATGTTGAATCACAATAGAAAATGTTTCCCTAGGTACATATTTGGGAACAGTATTAACTTGCACATTACAAAAAAAAATAAAAAACACTTTCTCATTGCCCACTTTTTGAGCTTTGAATTTCAAATATAAACGAACAGGGCCGTGGCATCCAGTAGGGCAACCGGGCAAGTGCCCTAGGCGCCAAATTTTGCTAGGCGCCAAAAAGTCCTAAAATTTTTTAAAATAAAAATTATACAAAAGTATTTTACAAAGTTTTTTATTTTGCAATTTTAAGTGCACTTGAGTCAGGATTGATCGTAAATAAGTAATATAATAATTGTAAAATAAGTATAGTGAATTTGCTAAACTTAAAGCTAGAAAAGTAAATTTTAAATAAATATTTAGTCAAACATTTTTTTAAATAAAAAGTATGCAAAATCTGTATTTATATATTTAAGAAGTACATTATTATTTATAATAAAAAATATGCAAAGACCACATTATTATTATTGTTATTATTATTATTAAAAAAGGCGCGTCGGACAAACTTTGCACTAGGCGTAATTTTACCTTGCCACGCTCCTGTAAACGAATTCACTAAATATTTGAAAAATGTGCAGTACCATTATAATTTTATTAGTCAACCCCTCTGCCAAAATACGCATAATTTTAGTTTGTGTAATATATTTTTTTGAGAAAGACTGACTGCACCGCGCAGATGGTTTGGTCATTGAGTAGAATAATGTAGTAGTGCAGCGGAGAGAGCCGCGAAATCGTTCAAAAAATTTTTCCGGAGTAGAAAGAATTGGGACCCACACCATTTTGTTCAGAAATGTTTGAACCTTCAGAATCTCGCTTTACGACATTTTCCCGTGGTCCTGACAAAACTTATAGGCCGCTAAAGTTGAACTTTACTCATTTTCGCGCGCGCGACTAGACCACCGAAAGTATTTATTTTCTCAGCAACTAAGCGATATACATCAATAATTCCTTTTGTAAAATGAAAGTACATTTATAGCAGAATCTAAAGCATTCATATTTACCTACCTTGTTATGCAAAGTTTTTAGAAAAATTACCGCCAACTTCCAAAATTCGTGTAGCAGATGAAAAGTGCGCACTTTGAACTCTCATAACTTTTTATTTCACGATATCGATTTCCAATATTTATAGCTCATTCGATGCTCCAAACCATTGTGATTATTTTATTTTCTATAACATTACCGTGAATTTTTCATAATAAAAAAGTTACGGTCATTTAAGTAAAAACCTACCGACCTCGCCGAGTCGGTAATCGCGAGTGAGACGGAGAGGGAAAGATAGTCAGCAGCGTTCGCTAAACAAGGAGCGATGCGTAATTTACTAAGAAATTTCTCTCCGAATACCAAAACTAGCTATTTAGGCCGTTTAGTTTACAAATGCATTCCGCCGAGTTGCATTGTAAAATCTCAAACAATTCATTAACTCCATGTATCTCAGTTCTTTGGTGAAATATATAGGTACAAATAGGTACCTTTCCCTGTAAATTTTGGGGGTTACTCCACATTAGGTATCTCTTGTGCTGTGCTGTATATTGCAAGATCAGCAGTAACAACGGTATGATTTTGTCCCAAAGATTCAGGCTTGTTTTTTGATTTCACTAGACGATTCATTCATTCATTCATTCATTTTTATTTAATTCCTTCGACAAATAACATTTGTATGGAACAAGTCAATATAACATTAATTAAACAAACGAACAATTAAATATTGGAAGATATAAAAAATTCTTGTATGTTGTAGAAACACCCATTGACTAGATAATCGTACAATTTCTTTTTAAATTTTTTCCATGTAAGGCAAGTTCGATGGTTAGGATGGTATTGTAACTCGCTGGTGGAGAATTCAAAAACGGCATAGGTATATTATATTGAATGGTAGATACCAGAACTTACTTAGGGGGATTATCAGCAGGTACTTAGGCTGTTAAAGTCAGTTATCTGGTCGTTATCTAGTGATAGCTAAACGAGGAATTTGGATTTCTTCTGTCGATGTATCTCGCTTTTGAAAAAAGACTGTGCGTTGAATTTTTTTCGTCTGTTTCCACAGAATATGGCCTACTTATTCTTATTCTGTGACTGTTTCCTCATTGATGTCGAAGTTGCTCGCTGTGATAAAATTATCATTTTTTATTTGACAAATTTTTGTGAAATGTAGGTAGACACCCTTAGCAGAACATGTAATATTGACGTTTACTGTACTTGTTATGCCACTGTCGGAGAACATTTTCTGACCCGAAAGACCAATTTGCAAATGAGTGTTTGAAAAATGACCTTAAAAAAAACTGTTCAATAATTTTGTTCCGTAAGTATGTACCTAGACAACAAACTTCGTGGAATTTTGTCAATTTTCGTTGTCCGGCCAAGAATTGCAGTGGAATTATTTTTTTCGAATTTTCAAAAACTAATTTCAGATTCAAAAACCACCAGATACCAAATTTCGTCGAAATCAACATTTTTTCGCACCCCTATTGAGGGGTGTGTCCTTTTGCGGTAGGAATTTTGAAAAATTATTTGCAAAACCGGAAAGGGCATACAGCAAAACCTATTCAAAGACTCACCACCAGTCTCTGTAACTGTTGCTGAGAAAAAAAGAAACTTTACCACTTTTTTGAGGGTGGCTCCTAAACGAATACATGGATTTTTTTTTTTGGTGTTTGGATCCATCGCTCCTCGAAATGGGGGTTGAAATATATTGTGTGATCAAAACTCTCTAAACCTTCCTCATATAGTTTTTATTCGTTGAAGTTTTTAAAAATAAAAGCGACTATAGCTTCGGCGTACTGCCATCATCAGGCGATGTGAAATTTAACAGGAAAACGGTAAGTTACAAACGTTGAAGACGAATAAGACGAACATGTTGTTTTTTAATTATTAACTGGCCGAAGCCAAGTGAAAAAACCTGAAGGGTGGTTAAACCGGAAAGGTTGTCCTAAGTTTCAAAACGAATTATTATCAAGCCTTGTTAAGACAACCAACCGGAGGGTTGAATTATTACATTAAAAGTTGAAAGTTGAATTTAACACATTTCAAAAGAACCGGGGGGAAAAAATAAACTCATAAAAGTTTTGAAACTATTGAGATGACTACATATTTAAATTATTTAAGTTAAGTTTAAATTCGAGATCATGCAGACGGCATGTCTAGAAATGATTGACCACCAGGTTTACCTATCACTAGATAACGACCAGATAACTGACTTTAACAGCCTAAGTACCTGCTGATAATCCTCCTAAGTAAGTTCCGGTATCTACCATTCAATATAATATACCTATGCCGTTTTTGAATTCTCCACCAGCGAGCTACAATACCATCCTAACCATCGTCTAGTGAAATCAAAAAACAAGCCTGAATCTTTGGGACAAAATCATACCGTTGTTACTGCTGATCTTGCAATATACAGCACAGCACAAGAGATACCTGATGTGGAGTAACCCCCAAAATTTACAGGGAAAGGTACCTATTTGTACCTATATATTTCACCACAGAACTGAGATACATGGAGTTAATGAATTGTTTGAGATTTTACAATGCAACTCGGCGGAATGCATTTGTAAACTAAACGGCCTAAATAGCTAGTTTTGGTATTCGGAGGGAAATTTCTTAGTAAATTACGCATCGCTCCTTGTTTAGCGAACGCTGCTGACTATCCTTCCCTCTCCGTCTCACTCGCGATTACCAACTCGGCGAGGTCGGTAGGTTTTTACTTAAATGACCGTAACTTTTTTATTATGAAAAATTCACGGTAATGTTATAGAAAATAAAATAATCACAATGCTTTGGAGCATCGAATGAGCTATAAATATTGGAAATCGATATCGTGAAATAAAAAGTTATGAGAGTTCAAAGTGCGCACTTTTCATCTGCTACACGAATTTTGGAAGTTGACGGTCATTTTTCTAAAAACTGTCCATAACAAGGTAGGTAAATTGAATGCTTTAGATTCTGCTATAAATGTACTTTCATTTTACAAAAGGAATTATTGATGTACGGTCTATTCAGTATATCTTCCGTTGCACGTCATTACCTGAAGAAAACGACGTACCAACGTAAACTTACTTTCGTTTGTTAGGCAACACATTAAGCATGTAGTTTATTTTAGCCGCAACAATTGGTAGCATTTCGCTATGTTGTCGCGTTTAAATTTGTAAATCTGACAGTTGCTTTTGGTTTACGTTTCGTTTGATTTGATTATTTTCTACGTCTTTCGCTGTGCATTGGTTTGAACAAAAATTACTGAAGAATTTAGATAACCCGTCAGTAATTGTATTAGATAACGCACATTGCTCACGAAGATAACGAACACTTCGTGGAAAACAGACAACATTAAAGTGTGGTTAGGTGATCATAATGTGCAGTTCTCCGAAAACGATTTTAAAGCCGAACTGTTGATAAAGGTTGCACAGTAAGTACGTCCGCAAATTATTTGATATTATCTAAATCTTGCTTGATACTTTTAGGAATAAACCAGCTAAAATGTACCACATAACGCATTGACCACTTAGCCGAGCAATACGGTTACTTCGTTTTACGATTACCACGACCACCCTATCATTGCGTTTGTAATCCTATCGAACATATTTGGGCCGTAGCGAAAAATTATTACAATCGACACATTTGTAGAGATGGACGAAGCATTGAAAATTGCATAAACATGTGACAAGAAACACTACAATCGATAACTTCCGAAACGTGGCGCAATTGAGTTAAGGATACGGAAACTGTAATACACGAGTGGTACAAAAGAGAAAAGCAGTTACATCTTGAAAACGTTGCTACTATTATTATAAACTTTGAACACGAAAGCAGTTCCGATGATTCCGATTAATTTGAATATCATCCATCACATAACCTGTAAAATTTTATATTTAGTACTATCTCTGTAAAAGAGATGCTACATTTGTACAGTTCATAAGTTATTAAAGTATATTGTGGTTCCAATTAACGAAATGAATAATAAAAATTATTTTTATTTTATTTAAGGTGTGGATTGTTCACACAAACAATGCACTGTCTTGTTGACAAGTGACATAACCTAAATCCGCTCAAAACTAGATTTGGCATTATTGCATAGTAATTACGTCATAGAAAATGATGACGTGCAACGGAAGTTATACGGAATAAAGTGTATATCGCTTAGTTGCTGAGAAAATAAATACTTTCGGTGGTCTAGTCGCGCGCGCGAAAATGAGTAAATTTCAACTTTAGCGGCCTATAACTTTTGTCAGGACCACGGGAAAATGTCGTAAAGCGAGATTCTGAAGGTTCAAACATTTCTGAACAAAATGGTGTGGGTCCCAATTCTTTCTACTCCGAAAAAAAAAACTACCTCAAATAAGCGAGTTAGCGCCGGCTCTCCGCTGCACTATAGGCCAGATGGATATGCGAAATGATGGCTTCATCAAATTTGATAGAAGGTTTAAATCTCGGTTGCCCATGTTTCTTTTGATAAATGTATTATATCTTTTAAAATCATTGTACCTATATAGGCATTATTAACCTCACCAATAAAAATAATGGGAGGTTATTGAAATTACCTACTCCAAATTTCGATTTGAGATTTCACAGAATCTTTACGTTTCAAGGCTCCAGGAGTCTAAAGAAGTGACTTTTAAAAAATGTCTTTATGTACTACGTATATGTATGTATATGTGTGGTGTATGGGTGTGCACATGGCTTGAAGCTGAAACCGAGGCTAAAACTATATCCGACCCTTTTGGTTGAAATTTAAAACAGATGTCCCCTTAAATGGTCTCGAGAGCTGAAGAGCTTTGGAAGCGATTCAAAAATGGCAAATGCCTTTTTGGAAAAAAAATCGATATTTATTGAATTACGTATAACTTTTGTAAGGAGCAGACCGATTTGTCTGAAATTTTGTACCAATGTTCTCTCTAATGGTCCTGAAAGCTGGGAAACTCAAAAACTTGGTATGCTAGTGTGCGCATGGATTGAGACTGATTATCCACTCTTAAAATAAACATTCAAAATCAGGGAGGTTTGATGTGATGCGGACACCCTGTAATACTAGCAGTGCATCACACCACTTCTTAAAGAGAAATAGTGAAAGTTACGTCACAAACACTACATTATGAATTTGTAGAAACCGAGGGGCTCGCCGAGGTAGAAACATTTTTGACATACCCATACCATCTCCGAATTTTGGCAACACTGGTTGGGTCTGGTAATATCATAGAACTGTATACGTAGTATACAGTTCTATGGGTAATATAAATCTAAACTTAAATATGGCAACTAAGCAACAAATAGAACAATCAAAACACTTAATGTACAAAAAAACCAATAACGAATAAAACATACCTGCAAATATATAACTATTACAGCATTTTAGGCAGGTAACGTCGGTACGTAATAATAATGATTTCACAGAATTCATTTCATTTGTAATATTTTGTATGCTTGGACCACAATTTTAGTATCTATTCGTATTGGTTCTAATTTTCCATAAGCTCTATTGTTATTGAAGCTAATTCCCCATTCTTAACCTCAAAATTATTGTGAATTTTCAATTTTGGTATTTTCAATTTTCGCATCTGAAACAAGTGTTATGGATTTTGGTGATTTGAGTGACGACACGGTAATTCAAGGAAAATTACAACATTTCCACACTAGTATAGATAAAATTGAAGAATTGTTACAAGTTACTTTAGACCAGGACAGTTATGAAAAACTAAGCACACAGGACAAAGTTGATTACGATCTGTTTATGGCATATGCATTAAACACATTATATTGGTTATACTTAAGGTCGAAAGGTGTAGTCCCCAACAATGATTTAAAAAATCAGCTTAACCGTATTAAACAATATATGGGGAAAGCAAAAGAAGTCGGTATCTACTCTGATAATTTTACCTAACTTATTATTTTTATTCTAGGCACACGATCGAAGTACTATTCGGCCTACATTAAATCAAGCAGTAGCAAAACGTTTTATTAAGCATGGAATTAGTGCATCATCTCAACATGAACCTACACCTAAAAAAGTTAAAATGTGAATAAAATTTTGTATTAATTAATTAAAGAAACTTATTAGGTACCTATATTTCATTTGAGTTGTATAGGGCGATGCTTATTTCTTACAAAATTACAAGGACAGAAACTAATGTATACATATTGAGATAACCACAGATATACGTAAAGAAATATAATGCTTAAGGCCAATTCACACGATAGTTCAGGTCACGCTCCGCTCAAAATATTGTAACATGCTATTTAAATAGGAATATTCACATTTGGCGGTCAGGGTCACGGTAAGCTACGATTTTTGACCGCGGTCTTTCACGCTGCGAATATTTTGACGGAACCGAGAACGAATTTGGTCGATTGGATTTGTTCGGCTAATGTGTGCATTTCACCAACCACCAGAATAAATATAATATAAATAAACGTGAGTGTACTGTGACCTGACCGGAGAAATACACGCTACAATAATTGACCGTAACGTGAGCGATAATGTGAATTGGCCTTTATGCCTGTGTTTTTTCATGTCTGTTCCATGTCATTTAGAAATATCGTTTGTTCTTGCATATTGTCGCCACAAGAGATACAGATATACATATATAGGTACCTACGTCTGATTCGGATTTACGCTATAATAAGTAGCTCAAGTGCAGTGTGACTGTGCCTATAAAATAAATTATTTTTCTAAAATGTGATTTTTGAGAGTCTGCCCTAGCAACTCCAACTTGAGGGTTTTAAATTTCATAGGTAATAATTACTACGTATTTAGACGTATTTTAGGTGCATACAATATAAATACATATTTGCAAAAATAGAGCAAGTCATCCAGGGCCGCCCGAGGTGATTTGCCCCAGGCCCCCGTGTTGGCCGTGGATCTGTGAGGATGAATGAAACAGCAATAGAGTTGCCGTTGTCACATTTTCATTTGTACGGCGGATGATTTTTTGCGAAGAATAGAAAATGACAACATTGTGGCTGTTCCCGGTAAAATAATGCGGTAAATCGTAAATCACTTATTTGTCGGCATAATAGAAATTGTGCACAACTCTTGTGCAGATAAAGCGCATTTTTTTAACCGCATGGAAATATTTCTCCCAGATGTTGAGCGATGACCCCCGCATTCCCCCGTCTCATACCTTCCTTGAGAAGAAGTTGTGGAGGGAAGTTATTGTTTGTAGAAACCAATTCCTTTCAATGAGACCTTTCATTAGAATACCACGAAGGGTAAAACGTGTGTTCACCCCTTTCAGCAAACTTTCGTTGATCAAAAATCGCTTGCGTTCGAACACCAGTGAAGATAGAACAAATCATTTACTTATCTTAAGTATTGAACATGAATTAGCCAAAGAGATCAGTTTTGATGACGTTATCGATGACTTATTCGCAAAAATGAAGTCTAGGAAAAAAAATTTTGAGAATCAATATGTATACTTAAATGTGTATATGTACATATAGGTACATAATTATGTGTTTATAACAAATTGTAGATTGTATAGCATAACATATGCCAGTAAATTTCTAAAATAACATTTTCTTTGAAATTTTTTCTATTCCAAAACAGGGCCCCAAAATTTACTTTGTCCCAGGCCCCTGAAATTGCAGTCTGGGCGGCCCTGAATCATACACAGCAAACGACATGAACATACCATCTTTATATGCCTAATGATCTTTATAGATTTATCTATTTAGGGTTGAGCTATCTTACATCGACTGTAATACTATAAAAGGGAGGTAGAAACCAATGTCAAATTTGATAAGATAAAATCATCTGACCTCATCAAAATCACAACATGGGATTTATGGGTAAATAAAGAGTTTTACTTATATTAAAAACGCCATTCAAAGTATTGGTGAACTTTGTTTCTTGAAAATAACTATTATTGCCTAATATTCTTTATCTAGCAGCGTTAGGTAATAAAAAATATTTTATTCGAAATGTGTAGGCCGGCACCAAATAACTATTACCCAACATATTATTAATATAATCGCTTGTATGATAAAATATCCTCTTAATCAGGGGCGGCGACTTATGGGGGCAACGGGGCCAATGCCCCCATTATGTAAGGTGATCTTAACCTTTTCACTGCTGCTGCACGTTCTGAAAATGCGGAATCTGTGCGACGTACATACGTTGTACCTGTTTAAAATTCTGTGCTACCTCCGTATATTAACGTGCTGCAATCATTTGCACACCATCGGAAAGCCCATTTCGTGAGCTTTCCAACGAGTACCAACACGACTCAATTTAGTTTTGTCCAGTACGCTAAAAACGGTTTCAGGTAACACGTGTGCGCATTTATTTTGTTGTAGTAGTTATTTATTCAGACGTTTGATAAATTGTTTTATCCATAAGTCAATCAGTAGATGGCGGATGAATACGTTGGATTGACGAAGTAGGAGGCTGCGGTTTATTTTTTTATTTTTTTTTTTATTTTTTGTTTTTATATAAAAAAAATATAAAAAAATTAAATAAAAAATAAAAAAATCAAATCAAAAATAAATAAAATCAAATCAAAAATAAATAAAAAAATTTGGATGCCCCCTCCCATAAAATACATTGAGCTATACTTCCCAACCTTGCTGTCCACGTATATGCACGTGCTGGGTGCTGCAAATCAATCTGCTGATGACGTATATATACGCGCGACAATTTCTCTCAGTGCGACGTACGTAAATATACGTTTTGTACAATTTTAATTTAGCACAGGCTGTTGACACTCGAATTTTTAATTTAGTAGCGAAAAGGTTAAGGGTGCATTGTCCCCATGCAAATTAAATGCACCACATGGTACCTACTACTGAGACCGAGACAGAGACGCAGACGTCTACGAGCGAGAGAATGTAAGTACTTAAACGTATGAAACCAATCCCAATTTATGATCCCTATTATTCCAGAAAATTGGCCCTGGTCCCCATGCAAATAATAAAAACCCGCCGCCCCTGCTCTTAATTACCTATTTCTATTGAATTTATGCTTAAGTACCCTTACACTGTTATACATAGACGTAAACGTAAATGTAACAGATGGTCAATAATTGTTGTAACAGAGAGGTACCCTTTGGTTCTAGCAAAGAATACTTGTTACTCTTTGGTTCTAGTGAGATCGTCTGTGTGGTGAACCTTCCGCTTTTTAACTTGCGGCATACTTTTTAAGTTCCAGTGCGTTTTTGCAAATTAAAATCAGATCTTTTCAAGCCGAGCATAAGACTTATTTTGTTACTTTTTAATATTTGCTGTTGTTTATTAAGCGACAGAGCAAAGCGATAGGGAAATCGATGGTGTCTGTCTGTCCGTGAACACGTACGATAACTTTCTTAAATATGCTTTAGGGATTTACTTACTTTCAAAATATTTGGCAGTAATACGTTTAAATCTGTGGTAATACTTATATGTGTCAGGACATTCTCCACATACCAGTGGTGGACACACTATGGCCCTCGACGAAATAGGTACAATTTTACACTACCTACTAATTTCTAATATCTACACAAATAAATAATAAGAAACAGTTAAAATTAAAGACTTAAACCGTTTGAGTGAAGAATATTCTCACTCAACGCTTAAACATTATCAGTTGTAGCAAGCGCCGAAACTGTGAAGTGCAGCTGCAATGGCGCATTACAGTCCACCCTATACACATGAACAAAAAACATCACTCCAACTCCAAACTACTAGTAGGTACTAGCGTTGTACCAAAAGATACTGCATTTTGATATACCAACTTTCCACTTGGTACAGCTGTTCCTTAGAGCCATTTAGACGATTTGGCCCGAAGAACACTTGACATTTTAAATTTTAGTAGGGTAAATTTTAGAGAGGGTGGGGGTGATTTATTGTAACATTTTTTTAAAAACTAAATATGGCCTAGAAACGAGACCTGGGTGTCGATTTCGTATGATTTTAACCCGGGGAATCCAATGGTAACGCCAGAAATGTAATCCGGATACAGGAAGTTCGTGAAAAGCCGCCATTTTTAGAAAATGATAGACTTTTGATCGAATTATATTACTAAGGCACACCGGGTCGTGTAAGGTGTCTAGACTTATGTTTTTGGGGCCAGGGAATTCATTTATGATAACAAAAATAACCTAGTGGCATCGGAACTGCATGAGAGGCTTCCCTACTGCGCTTTTTGAAGACGTCGCACGCGGTGAAATCCAAGATATACCAATGTTTTAATATATAAGGCTTTTCTTCTTGTTCTTGTACAATTTAAAGAGGCTCGTGTTGTATAGGTATATGTTACGCACATATATCGAAAACGCTAAATGAGCGAAAATAACGCACACAAGTTGTGGTCGAAGATAAATACCTAACCAAACACCGAAATGAAATATTTTTACGTTACGTGTTATGGTCGGTTATAGCTTTGAATTAATTTTATATTCAAAGGTTATAGTCATCAACCACCATTTTAGAAGCGACTACATAACGCGTTCTGTTTGAAGAATAATATATTGAATTATTTATTAAATGGATTCTGGAGTACGATTGGAGGGTAGATAGGATCCACACGTACCTAAAGCCTCAAATTCGGGCCCTTTGTACTACCTCCCTGATTAGAGTCGTTCGACCCCTCAACGTCACTCAAACCTTTCCACGCGAGATGCACCTAAAGCATGCTGGAAGGGGAGGCGGCTCTAAACATGAATCGTTTCAGTTGGACTAAAGCCGGACATTCACAAAATATGTGGTGTGCCGTCTCATCGTCTGTTTTAACATCCTCTACCTACAAGATGGTGATTCTACCAAACCCGGTGAATGTGTTTGCTTAGTTTGCGGAGCGATGCTGGGCGCGCGCGTGGATGTGGTTGTCGCTCCTGAAGTTAAGACCTAAAAGTGGGATAGATTTACGCATTGTAGTACCTATATGAGGAACCGAAAACGCATATCGTTGTTTTCGCGTGCACAATCCAATCGTTCCTGTATTTGTTCGCCAAGTATGTACGACCCATGTGCGAACGTGGAAGTGGTGTTTCAACATTCTGTTCCAAATTCGAAGACATGGCGTTAATTCAAAGTTCGATGAAATGAATGCACGTGGAAGGCCTGCTTAAGACATAAAATAAAATATGATGGCGCAATGCGCATGATAAGACTAACTTCCTTATCTGTGGCCCAATTCTCCTGAAATTTCGGCGGAAGATGTTTTCTAAAAAAGCTAATTGTTAGGACGTGCGAAAACGTGGATTGCGCATGCGCAGAACTCAATTCTTATTTGTGAACCACTTTTTCTAAAAATTCCACTTATCAAAGCGAATTAAGAACACACATATCAAAGAAATGTCAGTGGATAGGTAGGTACGTATGCGCAAAGCCAACTAGCTTAGTTGCACACGAATTTTTCCGAGATTTTAAGAAGATGCATTGATAGAAGCAATTCCGCATGTGCACAATGCATTGTCTAATTGCATGATAATTTTTCTACACGCTTGACACTTTCACAGCGGTATAGATTCTTCTTATGAAAATCGCACGACACTCTCCAACAACCAATCAAAAACTTTATTCGAGCATTATTATACCATGGCAACGGAAAGATTTTCCCGGAAATTTTTTCTAGCTGCTAAACCTACCTAAAATTAATAAGTGGAAATTTTTTGACGTTTCGGGATTAAATGTCAAGATACGATTTGTGAATCGAAACGAATCAGTAGGAACCGGTAGGAGTATTTTCGTCCCATGTCTCCATGATTCTGGATAATTCTTCTTTAATAAAAGAGCTGTTGAACTCATTTTTCTTTTAGTAGGATCGGCTTGTAACTTCCGGTGGCATGCGTCTCGCGCGGAACTAGCTCCACTGGACTCCAAATCAGTAAAGGGGTCGAATTTGATGTTGAAGTCTTTCTAATACTTTTCTTGCAATTGTTTAGCTGATGAATTCCTCATAACTTTCACCACGCCTTCCTTCTAAGATTCACCATTCTTCTTTCTCATGAAATCCCAATCTTTCAATATTTCACCCAATTTCTCCTTGGTTGTTGACTCATCCAGCTTGTACTTCTTTTCTTCGCAAAAGCTCGAAAACTAGCTCCATACCGAGCATTTACTCCGCTTCGTATTGGCCGGAATGGTATGGTCTATTGCTTCGTCTATCTTTTGAAATGATTCAGTACCAAAACGTGACATCTCTGAATTTTTCTGATTTAACTACCACAGAATAAGACCTTCGAACTACTTTGTTTAAATTAAAGTATTTAATTACAAAGTTAAAAATTTTTTAAAGATCAAACATTCATAACAAATAATAAATTTCTTCCATATATACATATACAGGGTGACAATTTGAAAACTTACCACCCCTCATATCTCAGTAAATAAACGAGATATTTAAAAAAATCAAAATCCGTTTCGGTAATTCGGAGGGGGAATCACAATGACATAGTTGGCGACGCACCCCCTCCAACCCCCTGCGCCCCAGCCACCCCAACTTTTAAATCTTAAATAGCGACCCCCCATGTGTGATACGTCGTTCGAAAGCTCTGAAAAAATGCTTTCCAACCATACCAAATAGTATTACATTTAGGTTAGTAATTATCGTGCAAATAAAAAAATAAACTAATATGATACATTTGAAATCTGTCGTATTTAAAACGCAACCGGCGAACATAGACGAACTAAGACAGATAATTATTCAAGAATGTCAAAATATTGCAAAACCAACATTTGAAAAGGTTCGACAAGAGTTTGAGAATAGATTAGAACTGGCCATCAAAAATGAGTTGCTGTCGAGTCGGCTTTGGAAGTTCAAGTTAAATACGATTTTCCATGTTTATTTTTTGATTTGCACGATAATTACTAACCTAAATGTAATGCTATTTGGTATGGTTGGAAAGCATTTTTTCAGAGCTTTCCAACGTACATGGGGAGTCCCTATTTAAGATTTAAAAGTTGGGGTGGCTAGGGCGCAGGGGGTGTGAGGGGGTGCGTCGCCAACTATGTCATTGTGATTCCCCCTCCGAATTACCGAAACGGATTTTGATTTTTTTAAATATCTCGTTTATTTACTAAGATATGGGGGGTGGTAAGTTTTCAAATTGTCACCCTGTATACACAGGTTTCCATGGATTTTTTCCAACATCAACTTGATAATTTAAAACACAAAATAAAATTTGAGTCAATCAGTCAATATAGTTTTGTTGCGGTGTCGTTGCGATTTTCTTACCGAATCTATACACTCGTGCATTGATTCTTCCGCGAAAAAGCGCAATTCAAAACACGTGGATAACACGTGCGTAGACCTCTGCCCATTTTTCTGAAATTTTACCCGCTGGTACAACTTATACGATCAAATTGGAAATGACGTTTATTGGTCTCTGCCGGTCAGTGCACTTTTCAATTAACAAATAAGGTTGCAGCATATTACACGAACTCTTATCTGGTTTAAAATGCCCATTATTTTGAAACTTGGGAGTGTACATTGGTTTTCTGAATATGAGAAATAAGTTAACATTGATTTTCAGGTGCGTAAATTTTCAAAAACAAGAGGTAGTGACAAAAAGGAGCCGAAATGTATCCAATTTCTCCGGAAAATGTGCCTAACACACATTACAGCTAAATGCCCAAGATGCAGTGGCGTAACTACCATCGGGCAGTTCGGGGCAATGCCCCGAGGCCCCGCAACCCGAAAGGTGCCAGCCACACGTAGAAAACGATGTGTAGTATACAAAATATAAAAATGTGTGCCATGCCTCATTTTAGTGATTTGACTAGCACAATGTCAACGAACGAATTTTTCGAACTAATCATCAAACAATATGGGATTCTCGGGAGTGATTTTATTCAGATGTTCACGACTTTTTATTATTCTTGACATTACCTGTAACTGTGGCAAGTCTCGAGCGATCGTTCAGTAAGTTGAAAATCATAAAAAATTATCGAAGATCTCAAATGGGTCAGAAAAGATTGATCAATCTAGCATTTCTTTCAATTGCATCTAAAATCGCGTCGGAAATGGATCTGACCCAAGTAATCAAGGATTTGCAAATGCAAAGGCTGAAAAAGAGACTTTTAGATTTTCAATTTTCTATATAACTTAGGCTCGTCAAATATGTATGTAATTAATATTTCAAAAATTAAACGTTTAGTATGTTCCGATTCTTATTAAAAACTTTAATGCGTGCCTAGTACTTATAGGGGGCCCCGAGGACCATTTGCCCCGAGCTGTCTTGTTACGCCACTGCCAAGATGCCACCTATTTTTCGTCATCACGTGCATTTTGACCAAAAGGAATGTCAACAAGTCATTTGAAATAGTACATTATATATCAAGGTAGAGAAGTCCACTATTATTGCCTGAGCACCAAGATTACATCTCGAGGCGCTTGCGCCGAGGGGTGTAAGGTGCGAAGGCAATAATAGACTTCTCTACCGTGGTATATATACTATTTTTTTCACTACTAGCACTTGAAATCCTCTAAATTAACATATTATATTGATAAGAGAGTTAACGGTTGGACAGAATTGTTTGTTTCTTAATTTAACATGTCAATCAAGTACGTGGAAGTACAAGTCAAACAGGCCGTATTTTGTTCTGTCATTGAGATTTTTCAAAGAGTAATTTCGTTCGAATTTTTTCAAAATGTGATAATTTTAGGTATGTAATTTCTCTGGAAATTGCGAATGGTGGCAATTATTCGTTTTAGAGAACTTGTCTAAACGTTCATTGAGCGAAATTTCGGGTTGTGTTTTCTAAAAGTGACAGCGTGACAGTTCTCATTATTGACTACTAGTTAATAATAAAAAATTATTAACCACTTTGAACAAATGCCGAGAAAGCCTACTTTACAAGTGGAAAAAAGGTTAATAATCATGTCATCAGACGCTAGTAGTGAAAAAAATTACTTACCACGCAACAAACTTTCAAACTAGTGAATTATGTAGCTGTCTATACAATAATATAAAGCGCGGTTTAGACGCTACGATCTTGGTTTCGCTAAATCGTAACGATCTGATTGTCCAATTTATCGTTCAATAAATCGAAAGAGTGCGTACTGTTTACATGTAACGATTTCTTGGTCCAATCTCATTGTCGATCACGGTTTAATACAGTTTTGATTTTTTTTACTTTTCAACTTGTCTTTTGGTTCTGTCCACTAATATAAAATTATACTCGCATTTTATTGCTTACATTGCTTGCTTACAATAGACTCTTAATCTCGATTATGATTTATGAGTAGCCATGTGTCGCTAAATATTTTTTTTGGGTGGCCAAACTTGATCGCCACTCGCCAAATGTAAAACGTGTGCGCTAGACAGTCCAAGTAGCCCAAATGGATACAAAAATGGTTCACGTCGGCAACATTAGTCACAAATCGTAGCGATAAATCGCTGTTGTTGTTTACACGTTCCAATTTATCGCTACGATTCGCAGAAATTGAAGCCGGCCACCATCAACCATCCAATCCAATTCCAATTCCGATAAATCGCTACAATCCTCTGTTCACACGCAACGATAAATCGTAATGATTCGATCGTTACGATAAATTGTTACAATTTATCTTAGCCTCTAAACCGCGCTTAATTAATAGGTACACTGCCACAAACAACTATAACGCAATGTTATGTAATAACTAAGTGCTGAGTATTTAGCATTCAAATTGTGTAAATATTACTATTACGCAACAAACCTGAGAAAATAAGTTATACGTATTTGTTTAAGCATACTCTCCTCAAAATAAGTAACATTAATTATGCAAGGGCCTGCAATTGCAAAAACTATGTAAATTTCAATATCAGCGAGTGAAGGAAATTTTTAAGATATTTTGAAATTAGCACAGAATCGATTCGATTCGAATTTTTTCAATTATTTGTAAGAAATTATTGAAAACGTTTCTGTGAACTTTATCCCATATTTAAATCAAATGATCCTTACCCAATTTCAATGAAATAAATTCCTATAACCAAATATTGAAAAACATATCTCATGTCATAATGTGATAACATGATAACAATGGGATTACAACAGCAAACACTAGCACCATATTGATACTTTATTTCGTATGACCATGCGAAAACTGAATCTTGTAGTACCTAAGAAATCAAACAACACATTTTCCATAATTTATGCCACAAACACCTTTGGGTGAGATATACTTTAACAATCAAAAATTAACAATTGTACAATAAATTACTAACAAAATTACCTTCCCAGCCTCATTTCAGTTTTACTATATCTGTATAAAGCATTAATAAAAGTTCTAGGACTAATACTGTGGTGTGTTTTTATACTAATAAATTCGGTGAGACGAATTTCCCATGGGGGATAACCATACAAAAATAAGGATTTTCCACAATAGAGACAGAGGTCTGGATCAGGAAAGACGTATTTATCTTTTATATTCTTATCTACGGTTGCAATGTCAATGTGTTTCACACTATCATCTTCACAAAGCTTTTTAGCAACATTTACTATATTTTCTCTACCATCAGTATATGACAATGTCCGTACATAAATTTTCTTTTCAATAAAACCATTTTTATAACAATTTTTGTTATGCCAAATCACATGTGCGTTATTCCGTTGTTGTTCTTCCACGGCACGTTGAAGCTTTTCCTCCGAGTCCTTTAGGATCCCTACAAATTAGTATATGATTAATGAGACTTAACATTTTCACTACACAACCTTTATAGTCGTAGAAACTAAGGTATGTAATACCTGATGCAACACACCATAATATTAACTTTGACAAATCTTTATAAGAAGGTTTTTCATTTGCTAAAATCACTGTTATATGTGTAGGAACACTCTTCAATATTTGAGCATTTCTAGTTATGTACTGTTGCTCTTCACTTGTACACTTATCATATATATTTAATAGAGTTTTGTAACAGTTCCATAAAAAACAATAAAATAATTCCAGAAAGTCGTACAATGTATACACCACCGTGTATGTTGTTTGGTATGTAAAAGTATATAAACTCATATTTAACAACATTCGAATAACAATTAACCACTCATAGGCATAAGTGCTCACGGTTTCACCCAAATAAACGGTCTCGCTCGACTGATTTATCAACGTGATTCCTGTTTCCATAAATTAAAGTATCATGCACTCCCGCGCAGCCGGCGCCGATAATACGCGACTGCCGCGTGGCTTTCACGCGAAGAAGTCCTTCGATTCAGTGCGTGTGCGGTAGTTCGAATGTGAATATATCTACAGTGTGCGTCGATTAGATGGTTACGACGGCCATGGCGAATAGCCCAAGGGTTATTTAATGTTCTATAAACGAAGTGTATGGCAAAATTGGGAACGATAATAGGAAAATAATAACTACATATCTAGGTTTTATTGGTTAACTTTTTAAACATACTATAGCGATAAATTCTATGTACAAGAAAGAACACAATGGTTACTACCTGTAAATACACCTTCAAAACACCACCACCAAAATAATCAAGAATAAAAAAAACCGGGAAAGCCTGATGCCTTTCGTCGACCTCGTCGCATCTTCCTCTTATTTTTTAGTTTCGTTACGAAAATCCCATAGTGTTCGGCATCTGCGCAAAACGGTCGATTGGTTATATACAGAGCATATCATATTTTTGTTTCAGATGTAGAGGTGTGTTGCCTAACTACAAGGGTGGATTATCACAAACTGTGGTGAAAGATACCTACTTGAAACTCGAAAAGGAGATGTGGTGTCAAAAACATATATTGGTGCAGTTTATATATTTAAACAGTAGGTATTCTTTGATTTAAGTTTGGTATTGTTAGGTTTAGAAACGTTTTGGGTTACCTGAGTCAGCTTTTGAGTCGGAAAGATAATTAAAAAGTCAGGTCTTGTTTTTATTCAATGGTATTAGTCAATGGTACACTATATGGGTGTATGCTAAGTAGGTACTTCGGTTACAAATTGCGGATAGTGGTTCTTTCATACACCAATATTCTCAGTTAATAATTTCGCCATAATTAAAATGTGAACTAGGCAAAAATATTAGATAGAAAACCGTATGTTTACCATTCAAACGATCTACACCAAGTTTTAAAACACCGATAGCAGACGATTTGTTACTTCGCTACAAAAACGTCCTTGCTTCCCTACAAACATATTACCAAAGAGTAATTATTAAGGATTCTTTGATATTACAAAGGCCATATGAAAGTTTTCGAATAATCGCCTTGTATCTTATACACCGTAGATATTACGTTCATTGGTAGGTTAAATCTCACGGATCTGTCACTTGTCATTGTGTTGTTAAAGTTAAGGTTAGGTTATTCATTGGTTAGGTTAAAGTATGTCAAGAAAATCTTCATGAATTAAATATGATTTTTCTGTAATTACAAGCAGAGAACATAACACAATGAATAGGTTTAAATTCCGTACAATATTAAAGTATGGAGCACTTGGTGGCCTAGCAGTTGGTACCTTTTTTAGTTTACGTACAAACGACTATCAAGTAGATTCCATTGGAGTTGTAAGACTATCTCGAGCTGCAGCTGCAGTGTTTGATATAACATCAGTTTACAAAAAAAAGTTATATAAATCTGATCTCGATAAGAACTCCCAGGAGTACCATGCTTTAACATCGTCGTGTCATAAAGAAGCAGCTGAAAAGTTACTACAATTATGCTGTACCAACAAGGGTGTTTATATAAAAGTAGGTCAACATATTGCTGCTTTGGATTATTTGGTGCCTGAAGAATACGTACAAACTATGAAAATTTTGCATAGCCAGGCTCCATCGAGCACTATACAAGATGTGTACAAAGTGTTAAAAGAAGACTTGAAGAGAAATGTAAGTTTTTATAACAGCAATTTTGTTGCTGGCCTACGTTTGAGGCTGTTTTACGTAATCCTGATTTTGACAAATTAAGGATCATGATGAGTTTTAACATTAGCAAATCAGAACTAATAGAATCAGGTGAAACAGTCTCCTACTTTCTTTTAATTAAAACATGACATTAACAAAATGTATTTTTTTTAGCCACATGAAATATTTAAAAGTATTGAACTTGAGCCTCTAGGCACAGCCTCGCTGGCTCAAGTTCATAAAGCAGTGTTACATGACGGAACAACACTGGCCATTAAAGTACAACACGCGTATGTACAAGGCAACTCTAGAGTTGACATGAAAACTATGGAAATTTTAGTGAAAATAGTAAGTTGGCTTTTTCCTGATTTCAAATTTCAGTGGTTAGTAGATGAAACTAAAAAAAATCTGCCCAAAGAGTTAAATTTCGAAGAGGAAGGTAAAAATGCAGAAAAGATTAGTGAAAGTTTTCAACATTATGAATGGCTTAAAGTACCCAAAATAAGGTAATTTTAGGTAATGTTTATTGTTCTTCATTAACTTTATATTTTCTATACTTACCCCTTTTAATTATTGCGTATGTAATAATATTTATTTAAAGGGTTTGGTATTTTGAATCAAGTAAATGTGAAAGAAGTGAAATCATTAGGCTTTCACAGATAAGTTTGTATGTGAAACATTGCTAGAAGTTCATCTACTAGCTGCACTAAAAACCTGTTGGGTGTTTAATTTGATTTTTGCATTTGTCAAATTAGATATGTGAAGGTATTTGAACAATAAAGTGAATCTTTTGATGAACTATGAGAGGAAGACAGACTGTCCTCATTTGGAATAAAATGTTTCAATCTTTCATTGTCTATATGTTATTCATTTTAAGAAGGTAGCGGTAGAAAGCATAGAGACAGTTTGACCCTCGGTTTGACCTTCATTGTGATTCGTTAAAACACGAGTCAGTATTACCCAAGACAGGAGTTGACAAAGCAAGAATATCATCTTGTCTATAATAATCTATACACTATAGTGTAAAAAAGTTGCGCTTAGGTAAAGAAGACTCTTAAATCATAATACCTACTTCACCATCACCTTCAAACTTATTACGTTAAAGAGTACAGGGGAGTCACTTTTTGGTGAAAAATTGGTGGCATTCCGTCTCGTATTTAAGAAATCTATTATCTGTTACAATACTTCACGACAGACGTAATTTGAATCTTAAATAGTTTATACAGCTCATATATATTTTTTTATTAATTCAAACACAATGCACTGTACAATGACGTAGTGTTGAAAAGTACAAGTGAGATGTAGTAAACAAGTAAATGAAAGCTTGAGCGATATATAAAAAATAAACGAAAAAAAAACATTGTACTTATGTCAGAAGTTACAAAAAAGCTTTGATTGCAGAGTCACACTGTATGAACACACATACAATCTTTTTTGCTGGGCAAACGAGTCAACACACTCAAAAATTGTAATAGCTTAAGTTCCTGGACCAAACAAAGCACTACCTTTGTTCACTGTGGCAAAAAACGCTTCGTGTTCGTGGGTCACTGTCGGTCAATAATGAATTTTATTATTGGAAAAAAATAACAATAAGAGAAAATACACTGTAATTTTTGTTTTTTGTGCTAAACTATTGACGTATAATAGATAATTGTTTCCCAGTTTATTAATTACGTAGTTACACAACTTTATTATAGACTATCCTCGTCTTGTAAATAACATGGGTACACATTTAAAGACTTTACAATAACCTCCTATTCACTTGAATTTAGAAAATTTGTTACTTGAATAATTTTTATTTTTCAAAAACAATTTAAATTTCTCTCAAAAATAAAAATGGTAACCTAACTATCGATATTCTCAATATTTAATCAATATCTAAATTCAACTACTGAATTTACAAAGTTGTTATTACATGACATAAGAAATTGCACAAAACTTAAAAACACCAACTTAATTTTTAAAACTTTAAAAAGTGCATACGCTGCTAAGAACAACAACCATCCAAAAAAGTTTTACCCTTCTTACTTTAACTCCTGCAAATTATTGGTCAAAACTGACGTACGTGTAGTCTAGAGAAACAACTCGTGATGATTCAATAGAAATTAGTGACGGATTTCTAAATTTTGATTGGTTTAAAGAATTTCTTAGGTAATTTGTAAATAATTTAAGTGTAGAAAAACTTCTCTCGCCACTAGCGGCAGTCACAGGGATTGTTAAGAAAATTCTTATAGCTAGGACTAGGTATATTCAACTCTTTGCTCCTCGGTTTGACCCTACGGGATCATTGAACATTTAGTCTGCTGCTGGAATCCCACAGTTAGCTCAAAATATAAGAGAATCATTCCATTCAAAAACAAAACGGTACAAGCTCTGAAGCTCATCAATGAGATTACAAAAGCATGTCAGCTGAAGTAATGAAACAATTGTAAAGTGAAGAAAAGTATTAATTTCATATTTTCTCGATAACTTTTCTTCACTTTACAATTATTTTGTGGGATTCCAGCAGCAGACTAAATGTTCAATGACCCCGTAGGGTCAAACCAAGGAGCTCAGCCGCTTTTTTAGATCCACTGTTAGAGGATTATGGTTATTTACTCTTTGGTACAGAATTAAAAGGCTTTGATCAGAGTGACGGTGGAAATTTATAACTAACTGAAATGTCGGCATCCAGCAGCAGACTAAATGTCGGTCTGTCAAGGACTTTCGGCTATTTGCCTGCCGACAGACCGAGTTATTTGTGCAGCTGACGTCAAGAGCTTTAATTTGGTACCACATATGACCTGCTTTTCCTAAAAGTAATGATTTCTTATGAAATATACAAATAAAGAATTGAATTTGTTTACCTTCAGGCTAAATGCGGTCAGACAGACCGAGCGTTTCGTGTATGGGGACCTCCAATACTTGTTCATGTATATGTTTTATGTTGCTATTTGAATGGTAATGGTTTGCGTCGCGGGCTCTTAGAATATAAAAACAGAACAGCAAAAATACTACCCGACGCCTTTTTAGAAATAATCAGTTCAATGTTAACAATCCTACATTACATTTAATCTTTAATTATTGTTACATTAAACTTACATGCTTACATTTGTGCTGATGTTTCCTATGGAAAGAACACGTTCTTCATTTAAACCTGAAGCAATAGAGATCAATGTGTTTGAAGATGTGCTTTCGTTTTTCTTAATACGTTACAATTACAATTTTGTTCTGTAAAGAATCTTCGACATACCATTCGGTCACCGGCGAATACCTCGCTCATAAAGTCATAACGAAAGTGCAAAGCTAGCAAACTACATCAGACACATGCACAAGAAATTATTAATTTCAGTTTTGACAATTAAACTGGTTACCTAGTGATGTACACCATACCACTTCGATCATTTCGATTTATTTTGCTCGTTAATTTCTTAGTGCATGTTTATATTGGTTGCATAATTTTAATTACGATCGCGCAAAAAATGTTATAAGCACGTCGAACGTTAAGGGTTACCGTTCTCAGACAATAATTGGAGTCGTCGCTCCGCTCCTCCTCCAAACAATTGTCTTCGAACGGTAAAAATCCCTTACCATTCTCCATACTTAATATACTATTACTATTCACGAATATATCACTTGTTTCTATACCCTTCAGCATTTTTTAATATGGTTAATTTGACCGGCACAATTCAAAAATGATGCAATTGCAGATGGGATTTAACAACTCCACGAGTTTTAACAATGGAATATTTGGAAGGAGGCCAAGTAAACGATTTAAAGTACATCAAAGACAATGATATCAATCCATACGAGGTGACCGAAAAATTGGGTAAACTATACTCGGAAATGATTTTTCTCAATGGATTTGTGCATAGCGATCCTCATCCTGGTAACATTCTTGTCAGGAATTCAAACAATAGTTGTGAGGTAGTGTTATTAGATCATGGCTTATATGCGGTAAGTCCAGCGCAAAATTTGTCACGCATTATACAATTGTATTACAGACATTAAGCAAGGAATTTAGAGTTTCTTACTCCAATCTTTGGTTAAGCATATTGAACAGTGATCGAGTGGCAATGAGGACGTATAGTGATAAACTGGGTATACACGGCGATCTGTATGGATTATTTGCATGCATGGTGACTGGACGTTCTTGGGAAAGTATAATGCACGGTATCGATAAGTAAGTTGCTTTAAATTTTACTTTGATTCTACTAATATTTTTATAGACGTCAACGAACAGCTGAAGATGCAGATAAGATGAAGAAGGTTTTACCAAGGTATTTACCTCAAATCTCAGGAATATTAGAGAACGTTAATAGACAGATGTTATTAATTTTTAAAACAAATGATTTAATTCGTGGAATTGAACATACGTTACATACTGACTCACGAAAGGCCGCCTTTAAAGTTATGACGCAGTGTTGCATAAAATCAATCTACCAAGATAAATTGGATGTTTCGCAAAGTAGATTTCAAAAGTTAAAGGTTAGAATAGTGGAAAAATGGTTATTGTTTAAGATAAGTGTTTATTATATATTGCTCAATTTAACGAACTTGTACAGTATAGTAATCAATGTTGGTAGGAAGCCGCTTCAAATTATCGAAAGCTGAGTAGTTATTTTTTTGACATTTCATGAGAGCATGTCGAAGTGGTGAATTAGAAACAGCTTTTTTGCCGACGGAAGAAAGAATGTTTCACTTTTTATGGAATGAGCCATTTTTTAAATTCAGGTTTCATACTCTAAAATATTTATTTAACTCGTAAATATATTTTTGCCCATTACTAGGCAATCTCGGTGAAAGTGCAATAAGTACCACAATAATTTACTTTAAGTGTGAACATTAGTTTTTGTACTACAGTCATTAATTGTAGCATTATTCCTGTTATAAACATTAAATTATTGGCAAACCTGTGTCTAAAATAATTAAAATAATTTATTGGTTATTTAGATTTACATAAGCTATAGACTTATGCTTTATGTTGTTTTATTAAATTATATGTTCTATTTTGGTAATAAAACGAATATTTATTAAAACTGTTTCATCTTTTAAAATAGGTATTTTGTGTTGGCAAATGTCTATTGTACGCTAGACTTGTCATTTGTGTATGTTTTGTGGTTACATTGTTTAGTAGTATCACAGATATACGTAGTATTGATAATTCTTCACAAATTATTCAAATTACATTTATTATGGTAAAATAGTTTGCGTGATGTATTTATGACGCACACTGTATGCCTTAGACAGGACTGCTTTCCATTTGAATGAAAAAGGACATCCAGAACCATCTTGCCGATATTGCTAATCAATTCGTTGAGTCGACCCTTGACATATAGTGACCGAATATTGGGTGTGTGTCAATCTTTGTTATGCCAAGGCAAATATGTCAACTGCCGAAGCCTACATAAATGTTATATATTTTGTTTTTCGTCGACCTCTCGATAACAACATAAATTACACCTTAGTTACAGGTGTAACAATGAAGCTCATTAATGGTTAGAAACCATTATACGTTAGCAACCATTAATCGTTAGCAACCACTTATACATAACCATTATGCATTAGCAACCATTAATAGTTAGCAACAACTTTTACATAACAACCATTTTATTAAAGGGAAATGACATTTATACAGAGACTTGCTATAACTAGACTGCGCTTAACGTATCTAAGGTGTTGTCGACACAGTATGCAACACACAATGCACCGCGGGGCAAAAATCGCTGAGATGATATGCAATATAATGAAATAAGCTGTTATTTTAGATGTTCCGTTCATTAATCATTCTCGTGATTAGCTCGAATTAGTGAACAGATAAATTTCTGTTGAGAATAAACCAATAAACTTAGGTTAACTTGTGCCTATCAACATGTACTCTGTCGATACATTTTTAAATAATATGCTGATTTTCAACGGATAAAAGTTTAAAGGGCCAATGGATCAGAGCCATTCGAAGAGGAAAATTTGCTCCCATAGTGGATTTGCGGGGAATGAAGCCGATTTTAGAAAGGTACCTACGAAGGTGTTAAACAATAATGCAATACCGAGCGTTTTCGACTTTCCCATTCACTTAAAATAACGTAGAACTATTATTCGACATCCTTTACCAGCAAGACAACGGCAATACCTATTTGCCTATTAGGTATAGACGTAACTAAGTACTTACTGGTACTAAGTATATTTCAGGTTTTGTTACAAGAAAAATAGCTAAGTCTGTTAAATGTTCCATATGTGCAGATGCGATATTCGCATCAGAGAGTCATTCAAAGCTTTTAACTAGAAAAAATCGTGGAGGATTGTTGCACGTATCAAGCGATGCATTAAAAATTTGCCAAATTGCTGAAAATGTGTTCAGGTTTTTCATTCAATCCACACCACACCGCGTTGTAAACAAAATGGTTATCAGCAGTCTAAGAAAAATAAATAACAGTTACAGCCCATTTGGGTTTTTGGATAGGCATTATCATTGAATTTATAACTATGCATTATATTGAATCAAAATCCGCTAAATAATCATATCTTACTACTTACATCTTTAGTTTTAAGAGTATATTTTCCCATACGTGTTCACCACCAAAATACACATATAAATCAAATTAGGACTAGAGTAAGGCAGTTATATACCAATTTAGTTCAAATAAATACCAATAAATTCGATTAAAACAGTTAACAGCTATATGTTATCTTTTTTTGCTACTAAAATTTAGGATAAACATGGCTAAAGCAAGCTACAGAACGCACGTCTGCCCCGCGATGAACAGTTGGTTGCCTATCCTATCTTGACAACAGGCGTTTATAGTAAAATCTACGTTACGCGCGGTCTAGTTATAACAAGTCTCTGCATTTATATAACAATTCACTTTCGGCAACAGCTGAGAACTTCCATCCACCTAACCATTTTAATCTCTCTCTCTCTGTGTTAATGTAGTGAGATCAGCAGCCAGTATGGTCGCCAACGATCTCAGCAAAGCATATCCTTTGTAGCTTCTCGGATAAGGTATTGTTAAGGTATTCAGTTACTTTACCTTCAACATTGAGTACGTCGGCCACAGGGATGAACTTTTCCATATCTTTAACTGTTAATACATGTATTTTAGTACAGTTGCAAAACAATTAATTACATTCTAATTTCACATACCTTTTCAAGGTAAAATGTCAACATGACATTTTCAGAAATATCTCCTCTCAAATTCATTATATTCCATCAATTGCCGAACTGATCGAAACCGTTCCAATAAATTTCTTTTGATTTGAGTGGATATATAATGTTAAAATCGCCTCCGCAGCAGAGCAAGCAACATAATCTTCCACTGCGATTACGAGGACTGACGGTACAGCATAAAACAACACATTACTATAGCAACGCCAATAGCTGTAATTTAGTGAAAAATCGTCGGATCTCATAATTTCGTCTGTAATTTCTTGTAATTTAAAATTACCTACCCCAGTGAAGTCGACGAAAAAACGTTGTATGCAATTCATGTATAAATCGGCGATTATTGGTTCGTTCGAATTTAGTCCACTCGCTGCGCTCGTGGACTAAACATCTCACTCACCAATAAAACGCCTCATTTATACACTCACTGCATAAATAAACCGATACAACGAAATATCGAAGGATCCTCAGTATTACAATCACTTTTAACGACAATTTATTTTAATCTTACAAAATACATTTTATAGTTAACAAAAATGCATCAAATTCATGTCTTGGGCTTTGAGATAATGCTCTTGGTTTTTTTCCCAACGATCTTGGTGCATAAATAACGATTTTGACATGTTTTGATCAAAATCCATGTGGTCCATAAAAATAGATCAAATTCATGTTTAGATCATTGAGATAATGCTCTTGATCTTTTTCCCAACGATCTTGGTGCATAAATAACGATTTTGACATGTTTTGATCAAAATCCACGTTTTCGCCAAAAATTCATCAAATTCATGTCTTGGGCATTGAGATAATGCGCTTAGTCTTTTTCCCAACGCTCTTGGTGCATAAATAACGATTTTGACATGTTTTGATCAAAATCCACGTGGTCGCCAAAAATGCATCAAATTCATGTCTTGGGCATTGAGATAATGCGCCTAGTCTTTTCCCAACGATCTTGGTGCATAAATAACGATTTTGACATGTTTTGATCAAAATCCACGTGGTCGCCAAAAATGCATCAAATTCATGTCTTGGGCATTGAGATAATGCGCGTAGTCTTTTTCCCAACGATCTTGGTGCATAATTAACGATTTTGACATATTTTGATCAAAATCCATGTGGCCTCAGAAAAATAATTTAACATTTTTGAATCACACACATGCGGTTATCAAACGTGCACGTTATCAACTCTTTCAGCATCAAGATAATGCGTTTGAAAGCTTTTACAACTCTAAATTCATGTGTAAAGAATAATTTTGGGTACATTTTGCTCTAAATCTTTTGACTGAGACCACAGAGAAGAGTTATATTGAATTGTTACACATCTAAGAGTCATAGGGAATAATCTAGCGAAAGTCCGAACTCGATACATGACCTAGGGAATGAAATATGTTAATTTTTATTATATTGAGTTCGCAGTTTTTCCTGTTCCCGATTCACTCGAAGTCGTATAACTTTTGTTCCTGTTGAACCAGCTTCCTGAAAATCAATAGCGTCCGTTCTTAATGTCCAACGTACCCGTATACCAAATTTCAACACAATCGGCCACTTTTAAAAAGAGTTAGAGCGCACACGGACGGACGGACGGACGGACGGACGGACGGACGACAATACAAAACTATAAAGGATCTGAGGATCCTTAATAACTATTATGAATGCGTGCGAGTTTGCAGGTGGTTGCTCTGTTATGTCATGATTTGTCTTTTGATTGGTTACTGTCAGTAGGTACTCAGAACACACACGCACACATACACCGCATCTCCAGTTGTTCGACCAATTTTAACCATTTTAAACTACCAATGCATCTTTGTTATATGTATTTATTAACGCAAGGTCTGACGATGGACTAAGTTCCAAAATCGATAACCTACTAGAAAATTACATAATTATAAGACTATAGCAACGCTCAATTATTTATTCATAGTATCCTTATAACTCCAAATGGAGCACATTCATCGACAATGCTGATTTCATTTTGTCGTCAAGGTTTAATAAGAAACGTACACGTTCATTTGTTTTATTTTCGTGTTGGATATTCAGATTGATGTTATCGATGTAATTAGTACAAACATAATATACTTATGTTACATCTTCGAAAAGAGAAAAAAAAATCTCTTATCAAATGAACCTAATAAAAGGTATGCTACCACTTAAAAAAATTCAATTGTTTTTCGTTACTCATTTGTTTCGTTACTGATTTGATTTGATTTCTGACACCCTGTATATGGTTGTAATATTCCTTCAAGCCCCTTGGTGTAATGCAACTTATATAGCACTAAAGAATCGACTTTTGCTTCAGAATGCTTCCGGGGCAGCTCCTTCCTTCATCTCTCGCTACGCCCCTGAACTTTCGTGTAGCATTCTCTTTGTAGATAGGGATTTAGTTGAAGTTATTCTGCAAAGATGTCTCCGCCTGTAGATATGTTTTTGGTTTCTTTTTTTAATTACAAAATCTTAAAACACGGAAGTCAGATGCTACTTCTTTTTTAGTATATATTTTTAGTATCCACTGAGCAACCGCGTGGTTAAAACCAAAACATTTAAATAGAAAAGTAGGCTTGCGCAGTGCACTCTAACAAGTTCAAATATTTAAAAATTAAAATAGTATCAACAGTGGCGACAAAAGTTACTTTTTTTTTACTTACGTTTGAATGTTATCTTTAATTATTTTGGTGTTTACCAACAATAATCGGTGAGTACTTTCACTTTTTATTACCGCAGTTAGGCGTTCGTAACTGTATAAGTAATTTAAAAAAACACAAAAAGCGAACAGCATGTAGTATTTTTTTCTAGTGTATTTTTTGTTATTAAAGATAATAAATTATTTCATATGACGTTACTAATGAATGCCTTTGTTGTTATGGAAAAAAGACAACAAGTTTATAAACCGGATTGCGTTCAACCTTGACACATTAAGTAGTTTAATAGTGAATGTTAATGTGCTTGCGTGAAAAGGCAATGTCCCCTCTTTCTTTGTGGAAAAAAGCTTTTGAATATTTATATTCATCATATCGTTCATTCAATTTAATATGCTACTGCATACGTCTAAAATACCTATGGTACCTATATGCAACATCAAAGATGGAGTGAAATAGGTACACTTTTTTTTTGCTTTATGTTTATTACGGTCCTATAGTTTGCCTTTGTTGCCTTTGTTTGTACAAAACAGTGCGCCCTTATTAACGAGCGAAAAAAGCGAGTTTATGATTTTGGACTTTCTGTCCGTCCGTCCTACTGTGGACACCATCACTCACTAACGGTTTCGAATTTTCCAATTTTGTTTTTAGCAATAGGTAGACAATGGCTAAGGGACTGAATGATTAAATTTTGGTCAATATTCGTCAACCGGAAGTGAGTTTGTCGCTCGTTGTCTATATTGGTGCAGTTTATTATAAAATAGGAATAAAATAAACCCACGCAAATCCATAAGGAAGTAGCGGCAGTTCGAGTTTATGCTGGCCTCCTAAGGGCGTTAAGGTGGCGTTTACAAAAAGTGCAAAAGTTACCTTGCGATTTCCTCAATAACTTTGTTTCTAGGTAAAAAAACGAACTTCTGTTAACGACCGATGGTTGCTAAAGGTTTAAGCTTGTGAATGAAGTTAAATTTAATAACAAATTTTTATCAGTGTGTGATAAAAATGAAAGATATATATTTTATATGGGAGTTTTTTAAGAACTTCATTCCTAAATAACGGCGAAAGCAAAGAGTAACTAATAATTATTAAGTATTCTTTGGCGAAAGTACAGGAATTAGCTAAATAATATTTTTGTTTCATGCAAATGTCGGAACATTATATATTTGAATGAATGTTATTTCAACCAAAACTATACCCAGAAGGAAGTTATTGTGGAAACAAATTTCCACTTTTTCAATGTAAACGCCACCTTAACACCATACAAATATAAAAACATACCTACATATATTATAATGGTTAACACACAAAACAAACTACGAGTAGATACTCCTCCATAAGTCATGGTCTATCTGTTAACCAAATTGGAGACGTCTAAGCGTTTTTGAGTGCGCACTGTCAGGCGTTCAGCCTTTTTGATAGTATCAATAAACTGCACCAATATATACAACGAGCGACAAAGTCACTTACCGGTTCACGAATATTGACCAAAATTTAAACAATTAGAGCATTGTCTAACTATTGCTAAAAACAGAATTGGAAAATTCGAAACAGTTAGTGAGTTACCGTGTCCACAGACAGATGGACGGTCGGATGGACGGACAAAAAGTCCAAAATCATAAACTTTTTGTCGCTTGTTAATAGAGGAGCTGCTTGCAGTACTCGCGCTACTTAATAACTTATCATCCAATTACCTACATCCAACTGTAAATGGCGGCCGGTGGGATATTTTTCCTAAGGGAGGTATTTAACTGTTAGGCAAAACTGAGTATTATAATGTGTAACAAATCTACTGTAAACTTTTCATTAAAACGTCCCTCTGTTCAAGGTGCCCTGAAAGGAAACATGAAAGGTGTGGACGAGAGCTAACGTATTATATCGTTGCAAGGATTTATTTAGAGTTTTGTTTTTCGGATTCATGTAGGAGAATATGGTTTTTCTGATTCACCTCTTCGAATTTTTCCGACTTTTGGGTTTTAAATTCTGGATTCTTGGGAATACTTATTCTTGTTTCTTTCGACTTTTCATATTCCTCAATTCTTGGAATTTGTACGATTCGACAGTTTTATCACATTTTCAGACTTAATTTTTCAAAATCTTTCATTTCTTCAAATTCAAATATGCTTTCGATACTTTAATTGTAGATTGTTTCATTCTTAACGCACCGGCCTACGCTCTTATTTCAACATCAATCTTGCAAATGCCGAATCTTTTGATTTTTCCAGGAACAATTTTGAATACTACAATCGTACTATGAAATTGCGATCTGATTAAAAAAATCGAAATGTAGGTACGAAATATCAAGGCTCCGACCATGTTAACGATAACTTTTTTAAAACCGGTCGATCGCCGAAATACGGTACTTTAGATAGTTATTTACAGATACCTATGGAACAGGAACAAAAATTATTGGATTGCCAATTTCAAATGAACTGCGAACGGGAAAAATTAATTGCTGAAATAATACAAATCGATGTAGGTATATCATTCCTATCGACTTCAGGCATGATTGTTGTGCAATAAGGTACCCCGGCAAAAGGACGCGTTTGTCATTAATAGTTTTTTACTTTAAAATAATATTTTTTTATTTTGTAAGGTTTTTAATCTTTTTATTATTTTTTAGCGCATTTTTGCAAATTTAATTGTAAAAAGGTAACTTTTAATCTCACTTTGACCGGCTGGCTGGCTGGCAGCAAATGCGAGCCCGTAGAAGAACGTTTGTATAAAGACGAAGAGTGTACATGTAGGTACCTACCGTGGCCGTGTAATTAAAAACTTTAGGTACGGGTCTACATCAACGGTATACCTACCAAAAACATAGGTAAATCCGTTCATTCCATCCTTTTCTGTCATAGTTTCTGGGAAAACAATTAAAGAAGATTGGAAGTTTGGGGGGCGTTGCTTTTCTTTTGGTTTCTTTCGATTAAAATGTTTGTATTGGTCTTCCCTATTATTAATTTATTTTCGTTATTAATCTCGTTATTAATATACCTAGTCTTTAAATTTCAGATTTAAATATTCGTGTTCGCATAGGAAAAGCTCCGATATACAACTGAATACCGAACGATCCTCGAGATCTTCACGCATCCATCATTTTTACAACACACCTTTAGGGGCTGAATCTGTTCCACCAGCATAGCTTTTAAAAAACATTTTTTGAATAGGCATTTGTTTTGCTTCTATTCAAGGTGCCTACACACATTTCATTTAAATAACCTAACAAATAAAAAATTGGATTGCGCAAATACAACGGTTGGAATACGCATGCGCAATCTTTTTTTCGAGATTACTTTGCATCTGCATGGTTGCTTAAGGTTTAAGGAATATTTACTGAGACAGAAAACCGGCCATTTACCTATATGTTGTTTAGCGCATTCTACAAGGAAGTTGGGTGCGCTATTGCAGCCACTTTCTCTGTCCGTCCGTCTGTCCGAGGCCTTAAATACTCCTACAGTTTTCAAGATATTAAGTTCGTTATTTTTGCATTCGGTAGCGTATAGCTCTAGCACCTGAGCCAAGGAAAATCTTGACCATTAAACTGCGCATGCGCAGGCAAATTTATCGCATACCGGGTGGTGCCTAGCGCGACGCAGCATAGGGATTTCAATGGTAATTTCTTTATAGTCAATTACTAGCTCCCCTAATTATTTTACAGCAAAAGTCTAAATAAGTTTTTTTTAGAGAAAAAAATACTGAATCTGTTCATGCTATTACTCATAATTTTCCGTTTTTCAAAACCGTAGAAATCGACAAAATAAAAAGGTTCATTTTACAATAAATCAAATATGCCTTGGAATTACCTAAAAAAACAGCGATCACGTTTCATTATTTGCCTTTGACGTATATTACATTTATATTTGTTTATAAATTAGTTAAAGAACTGCAAGTGCAATAACGTTCAAAATGTCCGTCAAAACCATCAGGAAAACGACAATACATTCAACGTTTTGGTTGGAGTAGCAAAAAATCCGAATATAAGTTTAGGAACAAATCTGCTTCAAATCAGTTTTTTTTCTTCGATTAGGTAGGTACTCTGATTCTCTCTGATAAACAAATAGTATCTGATGCAGGTGCAGCATACATTCTCTAAAAACACATTACCCAATTGCCGATTTTTCTTGCATCGGATAGTTGTAACAGAATTAAATATGAATATTTCCCTCATATGTCATAAATGCCATATGAGGTGTGCAATTATCGCTCAATTACAGCGATAATTGCACTGTAGAAAGCGAAAGAGCCCTGCGATAATTGCACTGTCCGTATCCATGGCAACTGGCAACTCCTTTGGACAATTTCACAATACACCAACAATTTATAAGTAGGTAACGTCAGTTTGACAAGTAATGCTTGTTCGGGAAATATTCCCCTAAATTACACTCGTGCATCAAAATAAACCTGATAATTTTTTATTCAAGCATGTTGTCAGTAAAAAACTGCATTCGGTCATTTTCATATTTTGTTAAAAGAGCCCTCCACCTTCGGTGACGGGCTCTTTCGCCAAAATATGAAAATAAACTCATGCAGTTTTTAGACAACATGCTTTCAAAAAAATTATCGGTAATTTTGATGCACTTGTGCAATTACCTACGAAAATCGTTCGACGTCAAACAACGATAACTTAGATGCGATGCGCTTGTAGTTTGTTAAAAGATTCCAAAGCATCACCGATTTATAAAAATGTAATTTTTTATTTTGTCGATTTCTACGGTTTTGAAAAATGGAAAATTATAACTAAAGTATGAACAGATGCAGTATTTTTTTCTCTAAAAAAAACGTATTTAGACTTTTGCTCTAAAATAATTAGGGGAGCTAGTAATTGACTATAAAGAAATTACCATTGAAATCCCTATGCTGCGTCGCGCTAGGCACCACTCTATATAGTAAAAATCAATTGTGCGCATGCGCAGACTGCGCAATGGCAACTTTCTTATTTACGGAGGTATTTATTTGACATTTTACCCAAAGATGTTTTAGTGTAAGCAAACGTATGGCATATTGTAAACATCAGATTAATGTGCGCATGCGCAAGCTGCGCAATGTCAACTTTTTTATTTAT